CTTCCTTCCTATCTTCCTTCCTTCCTTCCTTCCTTCCTTCCTTCCTATCTTCCTTCAATAAGGCCATGATCCTTTGCCTTGCAAGCATGCTGCCAGCACTATAAGTGCCCCTAAGGGGGGTAGGGAGTGTCGTAATGATTACTTGCCCTAATGATTTCTATTCCCTTGTCTATAGGAAAAGGCTAAAGGTCCCGAGAATGAAGTGGCCAAGATGGACAAACTACTCAGTCTAGTAAGAGAACCAACTGATAAGAAATAAAGACACGAATAATCCATCGTAGAGGTGAATATCAATAGATGTCTACCTCTGCCAGACCAATCAATCGGTGTTTTTAGGTGACGTCACTATACATTATCTCTACTGCTGCCAGACCAATCAATCGGTGTTATTAAGTGACGTCACTATGTACAGTTCATTGTTCAATATATGTATTATTCATAAGACGACATCTTCATTTAGACAGAAAAAACAGTGTTCATTACTGTAAACATGATGATTACAAACAATTTGAACGGAATTTCAGTCATTAAATCAAAATCCATATATATTTTTCGTTTATTTTTTCGTCCTTGGGTTTCAAAGGCTATTCCATATTCCGCTCTTTATAGCCTATTGAAATCTTAGGATCATCTCAATCGAAACACTCCTTTCGCTCCACACGAATATATGAGGTCAGTCGTATCCCTATCCTCCCTATCCCCAAGCAGGCACGAACTACACAGCGTAGAAAGACACATGTCCAGTCAAATCGATTCAAAGTTCGACAAACTCTTGGGACATGAAGTAGGAACATATTGTTCATCTCGTACTGACTTGAAATAGCTGCTATTTTAGCTTTCGCTAAGGCGCGCAGTGCAAATGAAGGGATGTCCCATTAATAGGAGTTAGTGAATAAGTTCATAACTCAAAATAAAAAACATATTCCAATATTTATTGGTAAAAAATAACTGAATCACAACTTGAAGTTTTTATTTTTTCTTTCCCTTTTTCCCTGCTTTTTTCTGTGCTTTTTTCTTCTGTCCTTTCCTWAATACATAGCTTCTCCAAGCACTTTGTATTATTCTAGCTGCATAGTTGATTTTCGCTATTTCTTCTTCTCTTCTCTTCGCTGCTTCGATGGCTTGACGTTTTTCTTCCAAAATCGCTTCGTATTTTGCTTCTATGACTTTGAATTCATTTTCAAGTGCAGACAAATCTTCTCTTTCTGACTCGTAGATTTTTTGAATTCGATCAAGTTCGTCCTATTGAAAAGAATGTAGAGGTTTTCAATGACCACGTGACGACAGCCATGTTGGATGACAGGAACAATGCAAAAGTTTTACATGAAAAATAAGTCAATTCCCGAGATTCTATTGTTCTGTCTGCTGATCTAAGTCAGGGCATGACTAACTCACAGATTGAACCCTGAAACAACCTCTGGGCTGATC